AAATTTTGACTTTGACACGGCATGTATGAAATGCCATAAAGATAGCCAATGATTAAAGTATAGTTTTATAACCAAATGAAAAGCCTAGCCAAACAACAATTCCAGCCTATGACTGCACATTAAAATGAAGTATACAGTATTCTATTCTTTTCCTGTTAACAAATATTTTTTATAAGGTATCAGCAATAAATTTATTCATAATTGCCTGAAATTGGGTTGAGTTACCCTTAGCATTGCCCAAAATTCCCTGCATGCTTACATTTGTTTGCTGTAAGTGCTCTTCATCAACTTCTTTAAAACTAGCAAGTTTTGATTGAGGAGTAGCAGAACCAATCAAAATAATGACAAAATCAATGGCAACCACAACTGGTACAATTATAAAAAACCCAATCCTTGATTCCCTATAAATGGTTTTTGATTGAATGTATCAAAGATTATAATAATAATAACTACTTTTCTATTTGTTTTGGATTATTATAATACCATTCATGTTTTTGATAATATGATGTCAAAGCAAAGACTGTATCCCAATGAAACCATCCATTCCCGTATCTAAAGCATATATATTTTAACTTGAAAGAAACGGACTTGGATTACAGAATATTGCTTGCATTGATTGGCTAGTTGACGAATGAGAATAGAAGAAGATACAGGTATACAACATTGCTGAGCCCAGTATTATAATATAATTTAAGTTTGGGCTAGATTTAGTGATTTTCACAACTGATATTGAAGCATAAAAATTATGTCAAAAGTTACCACACTTACTTTTTATCTCTGAAGGCATGCAATATTGAAAATAAAACAAATGACAACAAAAACAAGTCCACATACAGCCGCCATGTCATATATTAATCAACACTATAAACCTGTCATAAGGAGGTTAGAGGCCTATTTAAAAGATTTCAAAGTCTATGTTTACATGCAAGAATACAGATCTGTTACGATGTCTATGCCAAAGTGTACTGTTTGATTTTTCTTTTTTGAGTGCAAAAATGCTACATCACCAAATGTAACTGTTATACATAACAATGACTTTGATTAAAATTACCCAACTATATTGTTGACAAAAATTTATTTTTTACGACCTGGGGGCGTAGCCCCCAGGTCGTCCTATAATTGATTTCACCCACGTGCGATATATATTTGATTGTATGTCAACACTTCATTTCTTCTATACACGTTGTATTGGAGAAATAACAAGCCTTAGCAACCATCCGCCCACGCTACGTAAGTGGGTCACTGTGGGTGTGGTCACGGCAAACAAAATGGCGGTTTGAACATGGAACAAAGTTATGAGCTTTCTAACAGCGAAAGAACATAGAGATACTGTCTAAAGACTTTTCTAGAAGCAGTAGAAGGTAGAAAGAATCTTCATAGGTCTTAATAAGAACCCAGCTGTACATGCAAGGTGGTGAAATCAATTATAGGAATATTTTTAACGACCTGGGGGCGT